TGACGTTTAAATATCAGTTTTTCTTACTATTATTATTGTTTTTCAAATTAATTTTTGAATAAAGTTCTATCGCATTTACGCTCGTTCACTCGACGTTTCAAAATTTTAAATAAAACAATAATAAAGTAAGAAAACCACTGACATTTAAACGTCAAAAATATTTCTGACAAAGATTGCAAAGCCTAGTAAGATTTTTTCATTAAAAATTCATTCCAACTTTCGATTAACAACCTTACAGCTTAACAGTTAGTGTTTGCTTAATTATTTTTTTTCTCAGAAATTATTAATTTTTAGAAGAACATCAGAGAGACAAAAAAGTTTTAGAATAGTTTTATCTATCTAACTGAAATTTTTCCAATGTATTTATCATCATCATAAAAAAAATCTAGGCATAAATTGAACGGGGGTTACGTTTAGTAGTTTAGAAGGGTAGATTGAAAGTATAAATAGGGTCAAAACGTGCCCTATTATGAGTTAAACATATTCCCTAAATTTCATTTTCCTAGCGTGGTTTTTAAGAAAAAGAAATTAAACCAAAATTTTCCGCTATTTTTGCAGGGGTGTAGGTCGTTAGGGGAGACGAAGTCGCCCATGGTTCATATATCAAAGTACCCTTAAAATTCACTAAAGAATCGCCCCTTGAAGTTTGTTGCAGTCATTCAGATACACCGGTATATGTATTTCTTTTCGTATTTGTTATTATTTTTATATAAGTCCAAATAAATATTGTTTTCTTCTTCTAATATTAATTCTTTATATGGAATATAATCCTGACGGCATCAAGGACGACATATTCAACTCGCTATTCTTTCTTAATTTGGCCGGTATCCCCTCACTCAAACTCACACGCTTGTTTGTGTGACGTCACGCTGGTCTGAGATACGTAACTACGATAATTTGAAATATTTAAAGAACATAGAAAAATAATTTAAGTATAACAAATTAAAAAATTTAAACATCAAAATGTTTATTTCATTAAAATCGTAGTATTATTCTTCTTTTTGTGATATATATTACTCAGTTTTACCACTAAATTGATTCTCGACCGGCATGACGTCACTTTGTTCCACACCCGATAAGCAGTGGCTGGGCCGAGTAGAAAAACGTGTTTTATGTCGTGAACAAATACTTTTCATAAAAATGGCGTTTTATACTGTACCAAGAAGCTACTAAGATCTTACTTATATTCAATGCTTCAATTTTTAGTGTTTGTGAGTACACAGTATTTAATCTCTTAGTCTAATTTAATTTATGAATTTTTATAGAGAATCTAACCTCACTTTCAAGCTCAATTGTTTTATAAGCTTTCGGAATCTTCTAAGATTGTTGTTGTATAAAGGTAAGCTTTTATTAACTACTTTTATTTTTTTTTATTAACTTTAATTAATTAACAAACAGTAACTTTTATTTTGGTTTGAAAGAAACTAATTTTTAAAAAAGGATTGTTTTTCTTCGTGGCACGGAATTAGAGGTTGTGTCGGTAGAGATTATATGTACAGGCTGGTTCAAATTCGATGTCCAAATAGGCTAGCTCGGAAACTATAAGAGTTAGAAAAAAAGTAGCTTACATGTCATGATCTCGTTTTTCGAGAAATTATAAATGCCGAAAACCTCAAATTTTATCGTCTTTTGTTTTTCTCTTAGAGGCCAAAATTGAAAATATCGTAAAACCAACAAATGCAATTATCTTGGTTATTATTATAGGTGGAGTATTATACCTAAGACATTATATGGACACTTTTTTACAGAGAATTTCATGACATAGTCAAAAAAAATTTTTCGGTTTTAGATTTTGAGATATCATGAGAATTTTTGTTTTTTTAAATGGAAACAACCACTGATTATTCGCTTATTAAATTCGTTATTTTTTTCTGATTACAAAAATATAGGGTTCGACGGGTCTATTTCTTATTGTTTTGGAATAAAGCTAAAAATAAACTTTTTTTATAAAATTTCCATCTAGTGTCGTCGAGGAAATTAAATTTACAGTTTCCTGTAAGTTACGGGGCGGTAGGTAAAATCTAGAAAGTTAACAATTAAATACGAAGATAACTTCTGGTATTTAAAAACAAATAATTTTTTAATATGCAACATTCTAACAAGTCAAACTTTTCAAAATTTTCGTAATTGAACTTAAAAACAGGATTTTTAAAGTGACACTTCAGAAAATTTTTGAATACAAACAAATGTTGCTATGTTTATTTGAATTAAAAAAAAAACATATGAGCGCCATCTATCGATAATTTATTAAGTCATTTAAAAATAATATTAAGTCGTAATAAAAAATGTGAAATAATGCAATCTATTCCAACTTTTGTGTAAAACAAATATAAATTAAATAGTTCAACCACTGTATTTGTTTCAAATATAAGAAATATGTTTTTTTAATTTATAGTTATAATTTACAGGAAACTGTAAATTTAATTTCTTCGACGACACTAAAAGAAAAGTTTATTTTTAGTTTTATTCTAAAATAATAAGAAATAGACCTGTCAAACCCTATATTTTTGTAATCAGAAAAAAATAACGAATTTATTAAGCGAATAATCAGTGGTTGTTTCCATTTAAAAAAACGAAAATTGTGATAATATCTCAAAATCTAAAACGGACAAAATTTTTTTGACTACGTCATCAAATTCTCTGTAAAAAAGTGTCCATATAATGTCTTAGTTATAATACTCCACCTATAATAATAATCAAGATAATTGCGTTTGTTGGTTTTACGATATTTTCAATTTTGGCTTCTAGGAGAAAAACAAAATACGATAGCGCTTTGAGGTTTTCGGCATTAGCAGTTTCTCAAAAAACGAGATCATGACATGTAAGCTACTTTTACAACTACGTTTCCGAGTTAGCCTATTCGAACATCGAATTTAAACCAGCCTGTACATACAGTTGCTCACAAAATTGAGTATACAGGAGAATGGAAGATAGATAATTGTGAATATTTCAAATAATTATTAATTTATTTTAAAGTTTGATATATGTACAGGTGTCTCAGCGAAACCGGTGATTAGACGTTCCTCGGGTTCTGGCCAAAATAAAAATTTGAAAATTCAGACTTAAGTATTATCAATTGCGTTCTCTTCGACTAAAATATTTGCAGATTTCTACCACGTCCGGTTATACCGGAAGTCCCCACCTACTTTATTTTTTAAATGGAACACCCTGTATATTTTTACATATTTGGATTTGTCTGTTCTCAAGGTCTATAAATAATTTTACTTTTTGAAATTTGATTCAGCGGTTCTCGAGTTATTCGAATTTTTCTAGAAAAATCTGCTTCAGCAGACATTTGTTCAAAAAATCAGAGAACACTCGATTTTTGGGATATCAATTTACCATTCAGAATATGCTTAAGCAACATGATGGAGTGTATTTTGGAGCCGAGAACGGCTGTCTAGAACGTTTGGTCACATTACTGTGGCACGTTAACTTTTGGAAACTTGGAAGTAACATAACTTCATTTTTTTAAATGGCACCCTCCATATTTTATTACTTAGTCATCTTCGGTGTCTCATTCTACATCTTTTATATCCCATATGTTCTATACCTAACATTAATAGTTTGGGAGATAATTAGGGTTTTTTGAAAAATGCACACATATCATTTGGATATTTAGCCTAGTGTGCCATGGAAAACAAACCTTCTCAATGAGTTCTTGTCAAAGACTCACTTGTTTACGTCACCTGATGCATGTGAGCTAATAATTATCTGTTAGGTCCCTTAATGTTAGTACTAAAAAGAGCTAAAATCGATAACAATCACGAAAATAATGTTTACACAAATCAAGAAATTCTTAATTTATTTTTTATACATGAAAAGCGTGACAAAGTTCCTAGTATGATTCCCAGATCTTCTTTGGCAGCTCGAATTGAGGCGTTGGGACTGGGCTCAGAATAAGCCAAGGTGTTTACCTCTTCCACTGCATTATCAACTACATTTTCTGGTCAGTTTAACACGTGATTAATTCGTCCAAAATGCAAAAAATTTGCTTCTATTCTTCTAAATTTACATTAGTAAAGTGTTAGTAAAGAGATAGTTTTCATTAAACATTTTGCAAGTTCTACTAAGAACTTTGTCGCATTTCCGTGCATAAAAAATAAATTAAGATTATTTCTTCATTTGTATAAACATTCTTTACGTTATTAATATCCATTTTAACTGGTTTTAGACTCACAAGCATCAAACAACGTAAATCAGACTTTGACGCTTTTCAATAAGTCATTAAACATTTGTTTTCCATTGCACACTAGGTTAATATCGATATGATACGTGTGCATTTTTTAAAAAACCCTAATTATTTGCCAAACTATTAATATTAGATATAGGACATATGGAGCATAAAAGATGTAAAATGAGACGCCGAAGACGACTAAGTAATAAAATATGGGGTGTGCCATTTAAGAAAATGAAGTTATGGTACTTTAAAATTTCGAAAAGGTATCTAGATAGCCGTTGTCGGCACCAAAACATACTCCATCATGTTACTTAAGCATGTTCTAAATCCTAAATTGATATCTCAAAAATCGAGTGTTCTCTGATTTTTTTAACAAACGTCTGCTGGAGCAGATTTTTCTAGAAAAATTCAAATAACTCGAGACCGGTTTAATCAAATTGCAAAAAGTAAAGTTATTCGTAAGCCTTGAAAACAGACAAATCCAAATTTGTAGAAATATACAGGGTGTGCTATTTAAAAAAATAAAGTAGGTGGCGACTTCCGGTATAACTAGAAGTGTTAGAAATCTGAAAATATTTTAGTCGAAGAGAACGCAATTGACAATACTTAAATCTGAATTCTCAAATTTTTATTTTGGCCAGAACCATAGAAACGTCTAATGACAGGTCTCGCTGAGACACCTGTATATATTAACAGCAATCTTATTAACTATTTTGAATACAAAATAATCCAGTTTTCCAAATAAAATAATCACTATATTAATAATAATGACAAATGATACGAATAATGAAAAGTGAATAAGTTTAGGTTGGTATTATGTTTTAATACGCTGTAGGCCTTCCATTTTCGTCAATTATCGCCTGCATTCGCCGTGGCATTGAGCCCACTAACTTTTTGGTGTAGTTTGGCGAGATTCTATCCCAAATTTTACAAATTTCATTTCTCAATTCGCTTTTGTTTCGGAAGTTGCTATTTTTTAACTAAAATTTAACTTCTCCCCATAAATGTTCAATAGGGTTCAGAAGGTAAAGAAATGAATTTTTAAGAAAAACAAAATACTATCGTAAAAAGAATATTTTTGGGATCTCAATAATAAAAAAAAATTTTGGCAGTCCATTTAAAAAAAAAGTTGACAGTCGCCATTTTGAAATAATTCGTCCAATTGAAAATATGATATCTCCATCGTGTAGAGAATGTCCTAAAACATATTACTGCCAAATATTTTGAAAGTAGTACCCATAGTGTGGCTAACAAAAAATAAGTCGCTTACTCTGAATCAGGCTGTATATCTCAAACTTTAAAATAAATTAATAATTATTTTAAATTTTCACAATTATCTATCTTCCATTCCGCTGTATACTCATTTTTGTGAGCAACTGTATGTATATTTAAAAGAATTATAATCGAAATCCATTCTACCACTATTTGTAATAAGGGAAAAACATATACAGATGTATCTGAATGACGTTCCCAAACTTCAGGGGGTGATTCTTTAGCAAATTTTAAGGGTGAGCTACACTCCTTCAAAAATGGCGGAAAATTTTGGTTTAATTTTTTTTTTGAGGACTACAAGCGCCAGGAAAATGAAATTTGGGAAATAAGTTTAGATCATAATAGGGCACGTTTCTAGCTTATTTGCACTTTCGATATTCCCTTCTCAGTTGCTAAACGTAACCAACCTCGGTGATAAAGGTGATAAATACATTGGAAAAATTTCATTTACAATTTAGATAGATGAAAATATTCAAAAACTTTTTTGCCTCTCTGATGTTCTTCGAAAAGTTAATAATTTCTGAGAAAAATATTAATTAAGCAAACACTAACTGTTTGCTTCATATTGATATTACTAAAATCCATGTTGCGAGATTAATTAATAAAAATAAGATACAATAAAACAATAATGTTTTTTAAACTTCAGTTTCTCGAGTTTATTTTAAATTTCCTCCTTACCGGTTTCGACACTACATTAGGTCATCATCAGCCAAATCTACAAAATAATTGAATTACAAAATATCCTGTATAAATGAGAATAATTAAAACTAAAAATGAAAAATAAAAATCGTATAAAATATATAATTTTTTACAAACTTACGGTCAAGAATAAAACTAATTTGAAATTGGAAATATCTGTTTGATCATTAGAGACAAAATTTCACACG